GAGAGGTCCACAAATTGAACGATCAAACCTTTAAACAGTTAGGATCGTCTCAAATTCCCATCTTGGTCAAACCTTTAAACAGTTAGGACCAAAGCCAAAATCCCCTCTCGATTCGTTCCATGAACGAGAGGTCCACAAATTGAACGATCAAACCTTTAAACAGTTAGGATCGTCTCAAATTCCCATCTTGGTCAAACCTTTAAACAGTTAGGACCAAAGCCAAAATCCCCTCTCGATTCGTTCCATGAACGAGAGGTCCACAAATTGAACGATCAAACCTTTAAACAGTTAGGATCGTCTCAAATTCCCATCTTGGTCAAACCTTTAAACAGTTAGGACCAAAGCCAAAATCCCCTCTCGATTCGTTCCATGAACGAGAGGTCCACAAATTGAACGATCAAACCTTTAAACAGTTAGGATCGTCTCAAATTCCCATCTTGGTCAAACCTTTAAACAGTTAGGACCAAAGCCAAAATCCCCTCTCGATTCGTTCCATGAACGAGAGGTCCACAAATTGAACGATCAAACCTTTAAACAGTTAGGATCGTCTCAAATTCCCATCTTGGTCAAACCTTTAAACAGTTAGGACCAAAGCCAAAATCCCCTCTCGATTCGTTCCATGAACGAGAGGTCCACAAATTGAACGATCAAACCTTTAAACAGTTAGGATCGTCTCAAATTCCCATCTTGGTCAAACCTTTAAACAGTTAGGACCAAAGCCAAAATCCCCTCTCGATTCGTTCCATGAACGAGAGGTCCACAAATTGAACGATCAAACCTTTAAACAGTTAGGATCGTCTCAAATTCCCATCTTGGTCAAACCTTTAAACAGTTAGGACCAAAGCCAAAATCCCCTCTCGATTCGTTCCATGAACGAGAGGTCCACAAATTGAACGATCAAACCTTTAAACAGTTAGGATCGTCTCAAATTCCCATCTTGGTCAAACCTTTAAACAGTTAGGACCAAAGCCAAAATCCCCTCTCGATTCGTTCCATGAACGAGAGGTCCACAAATTGAACGATCAAACCTTTAAACAGTTAGGATCGTCTCAAATTCCCATCTTGGTCAAACCTTTAAACAGTTAGGACCAAAGCCAAAATCCCCTCTCGATTCGTTCCATGAACGAGAGGTCCACAAATTGAACGATCAAACCTTTAAACAGTTAGGATCGTCTCAAATTCCCATCTTGGTCAAACCTTTAAACAGTTAGGACCAAAGCCAAAATCCCCTCTCGATTCGTTCCATGAACGAGAGGTCCACAAATTGAACGATCAAACCTTTAAACAGTTAGGATCGTCTCAAATTCCCATCTTGGTCAAACCTTTAAACAGTTAGGACCAAAGCCAAAATCCCCTCTCGATTCGTTCCATGAACGAGAGGTCCACAAATTGAACGATCAAACCTTTAAACAGTTAGGATCGTCTCAAATTCCCATCTTGGTCAAACCTTTAAACAGTTAGGACCAAAGCCAAAATCCCCTCTCGATTCGTTCCATGAACGAGAGGTCCACAAATTGAACGATCAAACCTTTAAACAGTTAGGATCGTCTCAAATTCCCATCTTGGTCAAACCTTTAAACAGTTAGGACCAAAGCCAAAATCCCCTCTCGATTCGTTCCATGAACGAGAGGTCCACAAATTGAACGATCAAACCTTTAAACAGTTAGGATCGTCTCAAATTCCCATCTTGGTCAAACCTTTAAACAGTTAGGACCAAAGCCAAAATCCCCTCTCGATTCGTTCCATGAACGAGAGGTCCACAAATTGAACGATCAAACCTTTAAACAATTAGGATCGTCTCCGAACTCCCACTTGGTCAAACCTTACTACAGTTAGGACCAAAACCAAAATCCCCTTTCGATTCATTCCATGAACGAGAGGTCCACTTTCAGTTGAATAATCAAACCTTATGACAGTTAGGATTATTCAAACCCGTCCAGATTCTCTAAGTGGAGATCCCACTTTGAGTTTCCTTTGCACCAGGAGATAGAATATAAAATTCTTCCTCTCCAGTTCCGGGTTTATCTCTACCAACAAACAAGAGACCAGGAGATAGAATATAAAATTCTTCCTCTCCATCATCGGGTTCATCTCTACCAACAAAAAAGAGACCAAGAGATAGAATATAAAATTCTTCCTCTCCATCATCGGGTTCATCTCTACCAACAAAAAAGAGACCAGGAGATAGAATATAAAATTCTTCCTCTCCATCAACGGGTTCATCTCTACCAACAAAAAAAGAGACCATACTACTCCAATAGGTACACGAGTCTAAAATATTTCCTACACTCGACAGGCAGTTTCTGGAGGATATTAATCTGAATATTCTTAAGGATAACCTGACGAACCTGGAGGATATTAATCTGAATATTCTTAAGGATAACCTGACGAACTCTCAATGGACATACAAACATCAATCTGGAAATACCAGCGGATAACCTGACGAACTCTCAATGGACATACAAACATCAATCTGGAAATACCAGCCTCGATTCAAGGTCTTAACAACGGTCAAGCGATAAACGCAGGGTCGGAGAAGCATTAGCTATTTTACAAAGAACTGAATAGACTAATGGATGAAGAGATCAAGGGCTGGAGCCATTTTTCTACACGATCTACTCAATCAAGTATTGAAAGGATTGCAAATAAGACCTGTCTTATCCAAAATGTCCCAGACTCCTCTATAAAAGTATTGAAAGGATTGCAAATAAGACCTGTCTTATCCAAAATGTCCCAGACTCCTCTATAAAAGAATAAGCCTGGAACACTTTGGAGGGGGTATCTGTAGGCGTCAAAAAATATTAATAGATATCCAAATACAGCTCAAGAGGAGATCATCGAAAAATCAAAGAAAATAAGACAGTCTTTACTGTCTCGCACGTGAGACAGACTTTGCTGTCTCTCCGCGCGAGACAACGTTTGCTGTCTCTCCGCGCGAGACAGCGTTTGCTGTCTCTCCGCGCGAGACAGCGTTTGCTGTCTCTCCGCGCGAGACAGTTTTAAAATGGTCAGAAACCACCTTGAACAACTGCCACACACGTCCATTAACTGTTAAAGAACATGGGGAACGTCGTGGGCGAGAATCATATTGATAACTGCCAAAATAACGGAGTTGTAAAACGTGGGAAGGCAGTTACAACGAAAACTGCCAGACAGTTACTGTTCCCAAGACAGTATTTACTGTCTCGCGGGAACAGTATTTACTGTTCCCGAGACAGTGTTTACTGTCTCGGCCTCCAAGACAGTAAACACTGTCTCAGAAGCACTGTTCATCCAAGGGTTATAAATACCCCCGAAGGCCATTTTTGAAGGGGCTGATCATTTTGAGCATTTCAGAGCAATCCAGAGCAGAGAGAGAGCAGAGTTCTTGAGCTTCTGGCAACTCCTTGATATTTAGGCTTTGACTTGATTTCAAGAAGAACGACTATCTTACCTTGATAAGATATCGTTTCAAGTTCTCACTTCGATAAACGAAGTCAGAATCATAAACCCCTCACGATTCGATCAGAATCAGTGATTTGGTGGTCCACGAGTCAAAGCGCTCCCGGCACAGGCAAAGATCCCACGCAAGCAGCGATCCAAACAACGATCCTGCGTTTGTTTCCCAAGAGTTGTAATTTTTCATTTTGTTGTGTAAAAGAGGTCTTATAAAAAGACTATTTCTTTGAATTTATTGTAATCGAACGAAGATATAATAAATTCCACAGCAAAACCAACTTTTGACGCAAACAAGGGTATTCACTGTGAATGAAATTTCTCATGAATACTATGACTTTCCATCTTAATGGACTAAAAATTTGAGCCGGTGCTAGTGTTGTATTATAATAATAGTAAAGGAGGTTATGTGATGGGAACGCTTTGAGGTTTTAGTTGGATGTCATTAAATAGATATAATGGTACAATTAAAAGGCTATCTCTTCATGTACACTATGTAATTAAGCATGAAGTATTATGTATATGATTTCATGTATGCATGTATGAGGGTGTATTTATTACATTTAGTTTTATTTAATTGAGGGTTATGAAAGGGATTTGAAGGAGTATGATTTATGATGTATGTATGTGTTATGTATATGCATGCATGTGTTTTATGTATGCATATATACATTTTAGAGGGTATTTTCGGAAGAAATGTTTTAACATACCAACACACTTTTATAATAGTACTAGTATGGTGCACGTGCGTTGCACGTGTTAATACTTTCATGTTTATATGTAGCCCTATAGTTTTTATTGTATTGATTAATTTTTTTTTCTACTTGACATATACATGAAAGATGTCATTGGGTTATAAATAGATGTTATAGTGTTATAAATAATATATATATTATTTATGATATAAATAGATGTTATAGGGTTATAAATAGCATCATAAAAACACTAATTTGGCATATGAAAAACCAGTATATTGACCAAAAAGGTCATAAATAAATGAAGTAACCAAAATTATTTAATTATATGTTCACTTAATGTAGCATAATCATATCTTATTTAAGTTTGATATAAATAGACAGAAAGGAGCTCAATTTTAGCAGGATTCATCAACTTCAAAAGATGCATCTTTGTCAAATTGTAGAGAGCCATGGGGAATCAGGTTGTAGCAAGGCAATTTGATCTATAATAGCTAGAGTCCATGACCTGCAAATAGAACTGAATCGAGCATGATCAGGCATCATAAACTTATGGAGGATCAAACCTAACTATAAATGTTACATAAATGGGGAAATTACCTTTGAGATCAAAGATAGTCCGTTGCATTGTAAATAGTTAACAACTTTAATACACATCTTCGCTACATATTAGAATATTGTGTTAGATAATAATTGTTTGAAAGTTAATTTGTACAAAATGTGCATCATAGAATGAAAAAATAATTAGTCATGATTTTGATGAGGTGATTTACCTTTGAGGCAATAATACTTCTGGATACACAATATTTTTCGCGTATGTTTTTGTTGTTCTTCTTGTTTGGTCAACTTTCACTAATACCTTAATTGTTCTCATTGATATCCCCTTGATAATGCAACATATAATTGACCATGTGAGAATACATGGTGTGGCAAATAAACTCCAACATAAGGTATTGTTTGTCCCTGCGCTTTGTTTATTGTCATTGCAAAACATAGTTTGATTGGAAATTGTTTTCTACGAAATTGGAATGGATAACCCTCATTTTCAGCTGGAGATAATGGTATTCTAGGAATCATGACATTTTGACCAGAATGTTGACCAATTGTGATTTCAGCATGGATAACATTATATTCATATCCTCTACAGATCATTCGTGTGCCATTGCACATTCCATTAGATGGATCAAGATTACGTAACAGCATGATCGGACAATTTCTTTTAAGAATCAATTTGTGAGGCGGGAGTCCATTCGGCATTAAGGTGTTCAAGAACTCTTCTTGGTAATAATTATTTGTGTCATCTACTGCTTCATCAAAGCTAAAGAATGTTTTAGCTTCACCAGGAAATAATGCAATTAATTTTTCATTAAGTCCATCAACATACTCATTCCTTGTTGAAAGAATAGCACGTTGTGTCATGTATTCAGCTGATGATGAGTTTGATTATAATGATGGAAAGATAGCATCAATCAAATTTTTTTCAGAGTTTTCATCATTGTCATATTCTATTACTGTTTTCAGCGAAAGTTGACTCCATTGTCGATTCCATTAAACTTTGATTTGTTTACACAAAATTACAATGAAAATAAACGAAAATACAACTTTCGAGAAAATAACACAGAAATTGTCTATCAACTCCTGCTTTGTGGGACTTTGCCTGTGCCGTGAGTGCTTTGGCTCGTTGACCACCGATTCAGAGATCGTGAGGGTGCTTAGGGATCTCTCCTTCGTTTATCGAAGTAAAGATTTGAAAGCGAATATCTTATCGATGTAAGATGTTCGCTCTTCCAAAGATCATGTCTGAGCTTAGATCTCTAGGAATCACCGAATGATGCTTGTCAAAGGGTAAAAATTCTCTCTTTCTTCCTCAAAATCAACAAAAGCTCAAGTCTCTTCTGCTCCAAAATGCTCTCTGTTCTTTATCTCGTGTGTAGGGAGATATTTATAGGGGTAGGAGTGCACAACAGTTGAAACGGGGGCGAAATAACTGACCAGGTAACTGTTCTTTGGCCGCTGCAGTCTATACTGCCGCGGCCATTGGCGCAGCAGTATAGGCTGCCGCGGCCAAAGAGGCGGTTATCAGCACGTTCCATCGTGCCTAAAACCGCTCTCCCACGACCTTTAACCACCTTCTTCGTGGTTTAACTGCTTTTCCACGTCAGCACACGTTCTATTTCTGATACGCCGCCACGTGGACTCACCATGGGCTGCCGCGCCTTAGCCGCGGCACCATGGGCTGCCGCGCCTTAGCCGCGGCACCATTGGCTGCCGCGCCACAGTGCTGCCTGATGACGTGTATATTGTTCTTCTATGTTGTTTTGAGTGGTGTTTGGACGTCTGTAAGCATTTTTTGACACCTACAGATACCCCCTCCAAAGTATCTCAGACTCATCATTTTTTGGAGAGGGGTCTGGGACACTTTGGATATGATAAGCTTTCCCTGCAATCTCTCCAGTGCTTCGTTGAGGAAATTGCATAGAACGGTTTGTGAATGGCTTCAATCCTTGACTTCTTCATCTTTTAGCCTATTCAGTGCTTTGTAGAATAGCTAAAATTCCTCCGGTGCTGCGTTTATCGCGTGGCCATTGTTGAAGTCTCGAATTAAAACTGCTGTCGAAGAATTTGAGAAATAGTTTATACTCATATACTATATCGGAGTGTTCGGGAAATAGTTTAACCTCATATACCCGTTGGGAGGTTCAAGGAGATGCAATTTATACTCATATACTCATCGGAGTGTTCGGGAAATAGTTTAACCTCATATACCCGTTGGGAGGTTCAAGGAGATGCAATTTATACTCATATACTCATCGGAGTGTTCGGGAAATAGTTTAACCTCATATACCCGTTGGGAGGTTCAAGAAGATGCAGTTTATACTCATATACTCATCGGAGTGTTCGGGAAATAGTTTAATCTCATATACTCGTTGGGAGGTTCAAGGAGATGCAGTTTATACTCATATACTCATCGGAGTGTTCGGGAAATAGTTTAACATACAGAGGGAGATGTATGTGTTCAAACACCAAGGAGATGCAGTTTATACTCATATACTCATCGGAGTGTTCAGGTATGTATTCCAGATACAGCAGGAGATGTATGTGTTCAAACACCCCAGGGATCATCGCGTATGCATGGTGCTCCTGTGCAGCAGTGTGGACTATGAAAATATCCATAGCCGCGACAGCATATACTGTCGCGCTTGAACGCTGCAGCATGGACTGTCGCGCTCGAGCGCGACAGTATAGACTGCCGCGCACCGCTTCGGCCAGTCGGGCTTATAAGTCTGCTGTTGGGTCTTCTCGGGTCATTTTTACCCGCTTCTCTGAGTTCAAAATCCCTTCAAATCCTCTCAAATACCTTATAAAAGGTCGTTTGGCTTTCCTCTTCCCCATCTCTTCGAATTTTATGCGATTTTTCCTCTAACAAAATCTAGGGTTTCACATATTTTTCCCAAACTTTGAGATTTTCCTCGGTTCTTTCAACTTTCGAAGTTAATATCTTTTATCCTCAGGTAAAACCGAACCTATTGATCACGTTTTGGGTTTTAATTTCGACTTTTGCTCGGGATCTCATCTAAAAACCCTAGTTTTTTGATTCCTTAGGTCGATTTCATCATGTCTCCCAAAAAGGCTCGTGTTTCGAAGGGGAAATCTGCGGCACCAGCACTTGAGGAGGTCGAGACTACTGCCATGCCGTTTGGAGGTAATTTCCCAACTCTTTATCTGTTTAAAAATACTGTTTTTTGACCAGATCACCTCGCTTGTCTCCTTTGAGGGGCATCCGGGAAGAGTTGACGTTCTCCTCTGAGAGGACTGACGCTGAAAAATACGTATCTTGTTCAATCAAGATGTGTACCACGGCCAAAATTCGAGTTTTCATCGAATTAGAGGCTCTTCAACATTGAGGACCGTTGTTCAGTTACCGAGGCAGCTCGTGCTGTCACGCCTGAGCGCGGCAGTGTATGCTGCCGCGGTAATACACGGTGGCAACTATTGCCGCGGCTGCTAAGTATGGGGTTTTGCTATGTTTAGCCTCTCCATTCAACTATTTTTCAAATCTTCTTTGTAGTTCCTTTTCCCTCTGTGGTCTTTTCTGATAGAGAAGACCCAGGTCAGAGTGGTACTCTCCATGCCTCCTTCAGCGGCGACTTTCTGGTTAGAGAGGCTCGCCAATTTAAAGAAGATCATGATAATAGCGTTCCGGAGTTGATTCATGAGGGAGGTCGTCGCACTCTGCGCGCTCTACTGACTGATTCACCCTTAACCCCAACCCGAAATTCTACCGAGCCATTGAAGAAGCCTGATTATTTATTCGGGGATTCGATTGAAGATCCAGACAATCTTTGCCGCGGCCCCGAAATTTGGTTGAATGAACATGAAGGTGCCTTTCTATTCCTTCCCCCATTCCCTCGACAATATTCAATTCTGCAATTAAGGAACTTGGCCGTTTCGAGGAAAATGTCATGGCACTTGACGGAAGATCATGAACACATTCATTGTGGGTTTATTGGTAAAGATGTCAGCGCTCCTGGCTCAATCGGTAGACATACCATTCGTGGTCTTCACCCGGGTATATTTGGACCAGATAGTGGGCCCCAGAACGAACTGATGATAAGGGCTAATACAGTAAAGAATAGGCTCGCTCGGGTTGGTCGAGAGTTCCCTATCCCAAAATTCAGATGTTATGGATGGGTTCATTCTCTTCCCGACAAATGGTGGGCTAGAATGACCAAATACGTGCTCAATCGCTGGGATCAGGAGTTAAGGAATTTGGGATTATATGCTCCAATCCGAGCCAGCATGCATGGTCTCCCAGTAAGTGTAGATCATTTTCTTGCCTTGTTTGAGTCTTATATTCCGGAGACCAACACATTTCTTACCAAGTATGGGGAGTTAGGGCTTCCGCTCCACGAAATGATGAAAGTATCCGGGTTGCCATTGGGAAATACTCCCTATCAAGAATATTTTCCAAACAACCGTCAGCTTATGAAAATGAAGAAGGCTGGCTCTCATGCTTATGACATTCTCTGGGAGTTAACTTGTCATTATCAGACAGCGATAGCCAAGATCGAAGTGAAGAGTAAGAAGGCGGCTCGAGTCAGTTTAAAACAGTTTGCTGACTACTTGTTTCAGAACCTCGAGATCCCGACCGGTGAAGCTGTCTGTGAATCACCGATTCTGACCCCTGCTGACGTTAATGGGCTGATTACGAAGATTAACGCCCAGTCTTATAGAACTGAGTCGTCTGAAGGTGGTTTTCTCAGGGGCACAAAATTCAACACTTTCTTATGGCAATCCACCAAGAGAATGAAGCCTGTGACTCTTCTTTCTGGTTATCTAGCTATATGGCTAAAGAAATGTGTAGTGCCGCATCAATCTTCCGAGGCGCTTCCTATTGAGGTTCTCCTTCCCGCCGTGCAACTAGCCGTCGGAGGTAGGTTATCTTTGCTTTTCCGCTATGATGGCTAACCTCCATAGCGGTTTGCATATCCTGGCCACCACTTTTACAAAAACGGGTGCTGAGCCTTCGACTAAGATTCCCCTGTCGAGCGTTGAACTGCCGTACACATATTTAATAGCGTGGCTGGTCCTTCACCGAACGGACATGATGTCAGCACCTGACGTGTCTGATCCAGAAATTCCGTTGCTGCAGCTCTTAGAGGGATGTAAGTGGTTGTATCCTTCCAGACAATGGCCTGACAGGGTAAGGCAATTTAAAAATGCTAAATGCTGGGAATTTTACAAGCGTTTTCCTCGATTTTCTGGCGCGTATAATGATACGCTCATTGATGAAGAAATGCCTAGGGCCAATAGGACTTCTCTGGACATAGGTAGCTTCCATTGGCTCATGAACATTCGACCAGGTTATAATGTTTTCCGATCGAAGAACCTTTGCAGGATCGAGCCTTATTTTCCTTGCCGTTTTGCGCGACAATTCGGCTACGGTCAGCTGTATGTCGGGAATCCCAACAAATGGTTGATAACCTGCGGGAGTCTCATTGATGGAGTACGAGCTTGGTTCTGGAATGTTGCTGGCTGTACCGAAGCTCAGTTTAGTTTGCCTGTCGCTGAGCCTGATCTTCACTTAACTTTCCTCTACTGTCGGTGGATTTTGGCCGCCAACACTCCTCTTGCGAAGAAGAAGATTTCCGAATTGGAATCCGAGGCTGTGGTTCGGAGAATTGTATCTAGAAAAGGAAAGGAACCTGCTACATCTTCCCGCAAAGGAAAACAGGCAGCTGATTCCGAAGAGAGTGACGACTTCGAGACATCCAGTGAGGAAGATGAGACGGAGATTAATATTCCTCCTTCTCCTGTGGCCTACAGAACTCGTCGGGCTTCTTCACCCTCGTCACCGGGTATTCCTTCAAAAGGTATACAGATGAAGGAAAAGAACATTCCTTTGTCGACTTCCAACA